TTGAATCGTCTGAAAGTGAAGAAAAATTATCAACTGTTTCAAAGAAACAGTGGCATAAATGTTTTATTTAATTGAACAAAAAATGATGAAAATCTCAAATACCGTACATACCAAAAACAGATCCAAACGTTTAAAAAAAACAATTAGAAACTGAATTAATTATGATGATGCTGTTACGGTCATCTGCTATTAAGTTACCATTATGAATATCACTTTATGAAAGGATGAAAACGAATGTAACGATGGCTAATACACAAACAAAAACTAACTCAATAGATTAGCGTTGAATTGATAGATTTTGTTGAATTTACTTCGTGATTCGCGCCGCATCGATTGTCCTCTCGATAATATCGCCGATATACTTTTTGCGGCATCATTTTTTTCAGCCACAAACAACGCACGCATCATCTAGCGTTCGTTATTTTGAAGCAATCTGCAATTGCATAATCGCACACCCAACCCCCTTCCATAAGTGGCATTTTTCAATGAACAATAACTCGATTACATGCATACGGAAACTATCACATAGGACAATTGCGTGTTGCATTAACTGACATGCCAGGTGCAAAGAAGACAACAAAGACGCAAACGTTAAAAACAGTGAAATTGAACAAATGCGATAACATATAACATGGATTGGTGCATGCAAAACCACTGAAACGAATTAGAGAAAATAATTACCGAATAAGCGTTTTGTTTTTGAAGAACTGAAAATAGATGAATTGAATTTGTATGTGATGTAGCATTGCTGAAGAAATACTTAGTATACAACAATTTCTGTTGAACCGTTTAAAAAAGAACAACAATTGAGGAAAAGATACCGTTTTCTTGAAAGAATGAACACTGACAATAGTTGACGGATGGTAGACAATTGTGAGTGGCTTGTGAATACGAAGTACTCACCTGAAAATGAGAAATTTATGGGTAAACGCGCTTTCGCTTATGTAATCGCATCAAAACCAAAACGAATTCGTAACTCTCGGTCGGACAAAAGTGCTCTCATTTTAGAACCTTGTTGCCATAATGTTTAAAAATATTCTCTCTTCAAAAACCTCATTCAAGAAACGATATAAATGAAGAAAAAAGTGGTAGCGAGAATAAATATGTATATTGGATGGATTTGTTGGATGAGTGTGTTGTTGGGAATGATGCTTAGTCCCGAGAATGACAAGGACAGCGATAAGATGAAATTGACAGTTATTACTTGATAAACGGATCGTCCTGTGATCGGATCACTCAGCAAATGAACAGCACCACTGTCAGCCAGCGACACAGCTTCTATGATGAAATCACCGAGCACGTTGGTGAGTCTGAAATTTAGAGTAACAATTCAATTTTGCATCTCATAACTGTTGTTCTAAAATCAGAAACTGTAAACGCAACGAATTTAACAAAACGATACATAAACAAAACCGACTAGACGAAGCAAAAAATCATTTCTGAATTAATAATTAATAAGTGCTTCTCAAATATGCACGCAAGAAACTTATATTACAAGGATAAAGNATCGACTCAAAATAAGTAATTCATCACAATCATGAGTTCAACCCATTTCATGACAAAACGATTCAGTGCACTCATCAAACACTTATTCTTAGAAACAACAAAACATTTTCGGATGTGATCACGAAAGAGAATATTTTTGAATTAAACCAATAATGATGACTGAAAGAAGAAATGCAAACAAATCAACAACGCACGGGAGGAGAATTGTGAGAAGTTGAGAGTTTTGGATGGCTGATGGTGTTGTTTTTTGATGATTTGCATTCGACATTTGCATTCGTTGATCAAGTTGTAATTTTGACAATTCCGATGAAACACTTTGTAAAATTGATCTTATATAGGTGGCAGTCATTAATTCCTCTTTACGTTCCACGACAAGTTTATTCAATTCAGAATTCGGTTTTGTTGATGAATTACTCATTGTTTGTTGAACGGCACCTAACAACTAACATCGATTAGATCCCCTTTAATTCCCTAGTCCCGATCAACACATCAGTGAGTTCAATGACGACAACAACTGATAAGATCCTTTTCAATAAAGAAAAAAATAAAAACTGAATCGCTAAAATCGCATATCGACAGTTCACAGCCATTCAAATTGCGATGGGAATCGAGACTGCGACAAAGATTTTAGTTTTAAAATCAAAGTGGAAGGATTATGCAGATGAAAATTTTTCTGTGAATCGTTGTAACAATACGAAAGTGGTGCGATGAACCGAAGCACAAAATATTAATTAATGCGAAAAAAAGTTGATACGATGAAGAGTTTTATGCAATCCATTATATACAAACAATTCAAATGGTATAAAACTGTCAGCAATAATTAATGCACAATAATTATCACTATTTTATATATAAATTTGGTTTCTTCAAGAACAATATGCTCCGGTTCCGTTCAAGCAGTGGATGTCTCTTGAGTTGAGTTCACTTCTTCGAGTTCAGTTTCGATTGGTTCCATTGTTTCAATTGGTTCTTCTGCTGCCTCTAACTGAACAAAATGAAATGAGAGAAAAACCTAGATGAACAAAAAAATATATCTGAATTTGCACATTTATATTACATTCAAAAAATATTCATGTTATATTTACAAATCAATCGAATCAAATTCAAATTTAGTAAGTCAATTAAAGATACATAAATGAAATGATACTGGAAGAAGCCGAAACACTAACGTCGTTTTCAGTAATGACAACGTAATGATGGTCGGGATTGTCCACTTCCATTTCATCGACAATATCTTGAATACCAAAATACTCATCATCACTCTCGTTGCGATAACGCGATTTCCTTTGTCGAGGACCTTTGAAATTCAATCTTCTTTTAGATAACGCAAAAAATTCACTTTGGGAGGCGAACGAATAAAAAAATTTTGGTTATGCAAAAAGTGTCCGTTAATAAGTTTGCATACGAATAATAGAAGAAGGCTGCAGAAAGAATTACTGACACTAGGAAGCCAAAGAATAAGAGTTCGTTCCTTAAGAGTTCGTTCTATGAATTTTTTCCTCAAGAGTTCGTTCAGAACGAGGCAACGGAATAACTCACCACGTCGTTCTCCTTCCCTCACGTGGTTATTGATAATATGTCGATCCAAATTACGTTTCGTTATACACGCATAACTACACTTCGGACATGAATACGGCTTCTCACCAGTATGCGCCCTTAAATCGATCTCTCTTTTCAAAACACCACATTCAAGAACATCAACAACAGACAATCGCCTTTCCGAATGAAAATACCCAATCACTCGATCAAACACTTACCATCAAAAACACAGAAAACGTAAACCAACTAACCTAATGTGCACTTTGAGTGCGGATGTAGTTCTGAAACGTTTCAGGCAGAAATGACACGAGAATGGCATTTCGCCTGTATGGATGCGATAATGTGTGCTGAAATTGTGACGATACAAGACCAGTCCACACGTTGGACATTCCATTTTCGGTCGGAACGTGTCGTCCTCTGCATTTGCGAGTGCACCGATCACTTTCCCACTCCCATTCATAATACCAACACCCGACGTCATTCCACCGTTACTGCCCATTAACGCTGTGCCTCTTGAACCTAGACAATAGCATATGCTCTTTCTCATTCATACACATCATCATCCCTATGCAACTATTCACAGTTCAAACTTCTGCAGTTTCACTGAATACAACGAATTTAAAGCTGCTCAAAAAACAATGTTTCAGTCCTCAGATGAGCAATTTTGGTATTTCCTCAGCAGTAATCGGAGAATGGCAAAAAATTCATAAAGTATCCACCTCAACCATTTCAAGTCTTCAATCTCATCTCAATGCAATTCATAGAGACTGACGCCCATCATGTGAGAAGTACTGTCTAAATGTTGATCTACTACCAAACAAATTCAACCGACCTATGGGTAGTGGATGTTGATCGTCATCGAAATCAGTGTACTGCTCATCAGCAGAGTCTTCACTCTCATCACCCATACCCATACCACCACTCCCACTATCGCATTTCTCGACCGATACAACCAACTTCAAACCACCCGATCCTTCGATTGTCCTTGCATTCAGCATTTCAGCTGGTGTTTCAGATTCACTTAAAATCAAAATTTTTACACTGAAGTATTTCATTTAAAAAGACTGGAAGTGCCTTGGGCGATCAATGGAGATTCTCGATAAATGAAACGCCAATAACAATTCAAGATGCACAAATGAACAATGTTGAGTGTGGATGTAATGAAAGTGAAACGGTAACAAAATAAACAAAAATACAATGCGCACATACTTTAACTAAATACACTCGATACGCGATAACCCATAAATAAATGGAAAATGAATCGAATTTTAAATGAAATGATTTATGAATACTGAATTGAAATAAAGTCGATGAAATGAAAACTGACGTTGAATATGAGATCGGTTGACGAATGTCTTCGATGGAACACGACGCATCCACATCAAATCTTCTCAACTTATTCATCGGCTCTTCACCGAACTCAATTTGTTCATCATTCACATTATCGATATCATCGATGTCATCATAACAATAATCAATATTCGCTGCACTCGTTGTTGACTGTGACGGCAACATCACCAGATGCGCACTCCGTATTGCGTCCAACTTTGGAGGTTGCTGCGGATCACCCTTCAACATATCACATTATTATATTTCAGATTCAGCATTTTATTGCACATGTTTCGAATTTCAACTTATTGCTTCCGATTATGAATTCATAAAACTTCGTTGACTATCGAATTCTGGAAGGATGCACCATTTGATGCAATTACCAAGTGTTTAAATTTTTGCATGATTGCAATTCATTAGGAATAATCATTTCACGACAGATAATCGCGAAAGGACAGAAACCAAAAATAAGAGAAATGACTTCATCGAATAACTGTCCATGCCTCGCAAGCCCTACATGCGAGGCATGGATAGTTAATTCGCGTAAAAAAACGAACAAAGTGAAAAATATCTTAAAATCTTAAAATTACAAGCTAAAATTTCGCATTGAGAAGCGATGAACCGCTGACCTTAACGGTAATACCACTCGGTATAGGCCCCACAGATGTGGCAGGGTTATCCAACGAAGGCATGTCCGAGAACACACTAACAGCTTCGTTCTCGAAAGCTTCCAAGAAGCACATCTCAGCATGAACGTACAATTCTTCACGTAACCGAAAACTTTTGTGGCACTCAGTGCACATGAATGCACGTCTGAGTGGGTGCGGTGCACGTGCTGACGTTGACTGGATCAACTGTTGTTGTTGGGATGATAGCACACCGGATTGCGTTGCTATTGCTGTCGATGGATGATCAGGATTCGGTGACAGGCCAAGAGGTGAAGACGACGATAACTCTATATTACTAGCAACGTCGAATAATTCATTCATTCAGCTGCTCTTCTTATTTTCACAATATTTTTAAACCACTCGAACCACGTCAACAATGTACAGCTTTGATTATTGAAAAGAGCAAACCCCTGTAACAGAAACAGACCATTAACTTGAATTAGTAAAGTCATTTTTCGTTGCATATCGCTACGCACCGCTCAATCCACTGAACGTTTCAATTTAAGAGAGTCGAAATTATTTCTAACTCACTATTAGGTGATATTCAATCAGAATGAACAAATCATTCAACCGAATGACGACTATTTGCAGGTAACTTTGAATGGCAATGAACCACTTCAAAAAAGACTTTCGTAATCGACGGAAATCATTTGAACGTTCGAATGATGAATAATTTATTTTAGCAAAACATGACTCGGCACTGCGATAACGAAATGATCAATCGTCATCAAGAATGCGCAACAACAAAATATATCATTATTCACAGAGTGGAATGTGGTGAGGGATATTTGTGAATCACTGACAAAACGACCAAACTGAGTTTTCCTGACACCTGCAGATGATCTTTCCGATTACTTGATGACGACGTACCGTTTTTTTCAGAAATTGTTCAATAATGTACTCGAAATGTCGCTATCGTTTTTTAAAATTATAACCGACAGATACATGTTCAATGAAGTACGTGCATGTCACAAAATATCTCCTCAAAATCAACGAAAACTCCCGTACAAGACACAAATACACATAAAAACAATTGCAATACAAACAAAAAACCAATATTTCATAAAAATCATCCCTATTTACAACAATTACAGCATATAAACAACGCAACGATCGAACTAGAGGTAACACTGATTATAAAACATGCATATCGAAAAAACATGAACAAAACTGATAAAACAGACGGATTTGGAAACAACAATTAATTCCCCAACAAACATTTTTCAGAAAGATCTGCTCCCGTATGATGAAAGTAAATAAAAGTAACAACAAAGTGAATAAGACAGAAATCAACTATTGGCATCAAAGAAACGACACAGTGCAATATCCTTGCGAAATGCTCGCCTTCTTTCAGCCATCGAATGCCGAGCACATCTATCCAGTTCGGCCGCATCCACACCATTTCCATCCATCATTTCCAGTCGATTCTTTTTGGCGTCTTCTTCCTCAAATAACGAAGTTCGGTCAATTTTTAAAAATGTAATCAATTGAGTGATAAGTTGAGAATTGAAATTCGCTCAATAGTTACATGAACCACCATTAAACTATTCAATATTAAATAAACCAAATTAAGCAAATTTTCACAAAAGATTGCAATACCCCATCACTGCCATCCAGTTCAGGAACTTCGTCCGGTAAAACAATTTCATCGATACACTGATTCAGCGCTTGACGTCCTGCACTCAGATGGAACCGAAAACGCTCGATTACATCCTGAAATTGACCTCTCAAGTAAATATTGGCATATATCGTGTTCTGAATTGTCACTATACACTGCACCATGCTGCAGTTATGAAGGTTGAGTTAATCTCGTATGAAAGAGGAATCAAAATGAAAACAATCGAATAGTCAAACAAATGACTGAAAGGAATGAAAAAATGAATGAAGGATTACCTCAGTGGATGCGATCTGCTGTTTCATCATAGACTGAAGTGTGTCACGAGCTTGGAGTGGCCGGTACTCGTTGATTAAATGATGCATATTGATGAATAATAATCGAATATGTTTCAATTTTTCGATTCGCTCTGGATGACTTGGACAACTAGAATGTATACATAATGATTTCGCGGAATGGTTAATGATACATCTGAAACGCCTAACAGATGGTACTCACTTTCAGATTATTCACAATACGAAACGAGTGATATTCTGAACAATTCAATTTTCAAATTGAACGATAAATAACTCATTCGTAATTCATCGTGACAACTCGACCATATGCTCACCAAATTGTGAAAATAACACTTGCTATTAAGAAGATTGACAGTCATCCAAGAGAGGGCCGCAACAAAAATCAAAACGAATACAAACCAACCGACCGTATCAAAATATCCAAAAGATCTAGGAATGCTGCTACTGTGCTACGATTCAACTTCTTCAATTCACTACGCCAATCACCATTACTCGAGAATAACTGCTGCATCTCTTGTGTTCGCAATGAACGAATCATTTCCTTTAATTTTCAATTTATACATTTCCAGAAAAATTTACAACGGCAGTGAAGTGCAACTGGAAAGTGTGGAATCTGATTGTGAATATATAAAATCTGATGATTTTATGAGGTTATGCAGAATAAAGGTGGCGGAATTACGCATTTAAATTTACAATTACAATAGTAGTTGTCTTATGGAGGGACTGTAAAGATGTAAGGAAAGTTTGACGAATTGATGATAATGACTGATTTCTTGAAAATATTTTGTTCGTATTTTTTCATAATTTTTAGAAATCCGTTTCATCAATAGGTAGTGATTTTTTTGGCATTCTTAACAGCGAACCTCTCGATCATTGAATTAACTTAATGATTTTTTGATATGTCCTCTAGATATACGATTGTTGGGGACAAGAAAGGAAATGGGAATCTTTTATATAGGAAGTACGGAGCATCACACCATGAGAACCATTGCCTTATGAGAACAAATTTTTGGAAACTTCATTGCTAATCGTAAGTAAAATGAAAACTGATAGCTGTCGTAAGAATGTGACGCTAAAATCCCATTAACCAGCAAAACGACACGTTCCAAAGATCACTAAAAAGAAACGACCAACCTCTTCAAAATTATACTCCTCACCGAAAACGGTAAATTCAGTTGGTACCGGAGGCGGTGGAAGAACGACTTTTTTGGCGATATTTTCATCCGTGTATTGCTTTGCATATTCCGGAGGCTGTGGGAATGGACTAACAATATTTTGTGGCTGAGAAGACATCTCATTTAATTCACTGCAAAAGAAAATATTCCTTTAATCGACTCACAATACAATTTTGAGGTTGGCAACAGAAGCCAAATTGCACTTTTGAAGCGACACGGTCATGTAGAGCACAGAGAAAAAGAGATCCAACAGGGCGAATTAATTCATCGATGAGGCACAGGAATTTGA